ACACTGGCACATCTGCCAGTAACTTGAAGGTCGGAGCCGTGGTGGTGCAGTGGTCAGAATGCAGTATTACAGGCTAATTCTGGTGACTACCAGTAGTTCGATCCTGACCGGCTCAAGGTTGAATTAGCCTTCCATCCTTCCAAGGTCAGTAAAATGAGGACCTGGATTGTTGGGGGCAATATGTTTACAAACTGCTTAGAGAGGGCTGTAAAGCACTATGAAGTGGTATACAAGTCTAAGTGCTATTGCTATTGGCAGACTCAACCTGTTGTACTTGAATTGTGACTGGAGAGGTTATAGGGAGAAAAATCTCTGGACTCAAAACGTTGGCAGCCTGATTGATTCAAAGGCTGCCAGTTAGTTTACTGGCAAAGTACAGGAAATAAGCACTTATAAAATAATTGCCAGTGGTTATTTAAAGCCCTGCACACTAGTCTATCGAAGAAATGCTGGAACAGCTGCTGATTCTCCTAGCAGAAATTCAAGGTTAGCCCTTCTATGTAATGACCCCTGAGATTTAGAATAAGTTCTTGAGTCTTTGAAGTGCTCAGAGGAAGCTTTAAAAGTAGATGTCAATGGCCAGGCTTTTAGTTAATATTGGCTTTCGTGGATTGTTTAAATTATTTAACTATATTCAAAGTTTTTTTCTTATTTTAAATAGTTTTATTTGGTGGGGAATGTTGCTAATGATACATTTAAGCAACAGGTGATTCAGAATTGTAGTACTAATAACAAGTATACAAATGAGTATGGTTTTTTTTCAGCTGCATGACTGTCCTAATATTACATTACAGCTGAAATTCTTCCTTGGTGTTAGAGCTGACTTATCAATAGCTTCCTGAAATTCAGTTGCAACGCTAATGATCCCAGTAAAAGAATTGTCATTATTGCTATATTTCAGCACAACTGCCACCTTCCTCCATCCCTTCAAAATATGCAAAATGACGTACAGATCAGCCATTCATGTCCCAGGAGGGCAGCTTGGGGAGAAGAATTATAGTTAATAGTCTATAAGCAGCCACCTTGTGTGTTCATGGTTACTTGGAGATAATTGTCTCATTGCTGTAAGTTTTCCATCACATAGATGTGAGCACTGGACTAATTATTTTCAGTAGCTGAAGATCTAAGAACAAGCCTCATTGCATAGTTATAATTCATAACACACAGTTTTTCACAATGAACAAGAGTTTAGTGTAAGAGCTGTCTTTTTTAGCAGTCCACTCCTTTGTAACCATATATTAAAGATATTTAATATCTAATGTTGGTAAATAGCTAAAGCTCTGGTATACTGTTTCCTTCAAGATCAAAATTCTACTCCATGATCTTGAAAGCTATATATCCACGAAGATGGACAACCCAGTGAACAGCGTAGCTGCTCCCTTACTCCTATGCAGGATATAGCCAGAGGACACAAGGGACAACTATTTTTGCTGAAATAAATGCCTAATTTGACTCCCTAAGTTGGAGGAGAAAATTCTGGAGCATTCTTCTTACAGTGCATTACTAGAAATTCCGTAACAGAAAGAAAGAGCGATAAATAAATAAGAGGTTGGATATACCTCCTACAGAAACCCTTCATGTATTCCTGTTTATTTTATAAAATACTTCTATTATTGTTGTTGAGATTACTATGAAAGAGAGCTTCCATTGAGGTGCTTTATATACAACCAATTCAGAATGACTCGATTCATACATTCTTCATAGTCACACACAAATGTTGTTTTTGGTTTTTGAATAAAGGTTCCAATGTTTCTTTAACTAATAGATGAGTTTTTCTTGGACTCCCTCCACAGATAAGCAGTGTGTGGGATTATGATTTTCTATCAGTATAGGAAAAAAAAATTTATAATCCCTTTTTGCTCAAGCATTAGGTCTCTTTGCATTTTTTTTCCTTTAAAAGAAGAGCTTAAATAATGATGCCTTAACATCTGTACTATTTTATGCAGAGCGGGAATGTATTTATCATTGGTTCTTCCTCTCATGTGTCTGTATTCTCCCAGGAGATGATTGTTTCAATTGTCATACAGGTAAAATGCTGTTCGGTGTAGGTATGTGGTACAAATTATTTCAGTCTTTTTTGTGCTGCAGCATTGAATTGCAAATGGGTTTTTATTCCTCCTCCTTTGAAGGGATCAGAACTGCTCTGTGCTGACTCACTCATCTGTCAGCTAAAGAACTTGCAACTCTAGAGCTGATATTATGAAAAGAGAGGTAGTTTTTCAGAGATAACAAAGCTCGAGAACAGAGAGGTTACAAAAATGAAATTGCAGTTCTCATCTTTAGAGCAAATTTATTAGTACAAAGGCTGGGGATGAATTATAGCTGAGGCATCAGATAAATATTGTGTGCCAGAAGCCAAACTTGCAAAAATAAAGCATTTAGAAATCAAAAACATAAGATTTTTCTCATATGTTTTTTATCACTAACTTCTCAGCAGATGTATGTGCATATTAATTCTGCTTATAGACCTCAGTGAAGGGCATCTTCTGGGCAGTGCAGAGGTAAATTAAAAATGTGAAACAGGATACACTAGCAAAGGTAATATATAATAAAGTAGAGACAAAGCTGGTGCCAGCTGGTAGAAAGCATACAATATTAACAATCAACTCAGCAGTAGAATAAGATGGGTATTTAAAACAATATTGTCATTCCTGTTGGCATTTGCTGAAAACAGAGCCTTATCGTGTATCTGCAGAGATATGGCTGTGTCAGAGAACATGGAATATGTATACTTCCTTGCTCTATCTTTTAAGGATGTCAGAGTTAAACCATACCATACTAATGTTAGTCTATTGTTTTTTTGCCTCAAGTTGGCCAGTCTGAGGGCAGCAGGGGGCTCCCAATATCCCATTTGAAGACACACACACACCCAGAGTTTTGGTGGGTGGGCTGAGCTGAGCTGACAAATTAGAACATTTTCATTATTTGAAGGAAGTTTCATGTTAAGATATGTTAAGACATGAACCTGATATTTTAAGCAAGCAGAGAGTTAAGATTCCAATAACTCTTCTGAAAGCTCTTCTCTGCTGAAAATATCAGGCCCCTTCCCCCAAATTTGAAGGAAGGGGTAGAATTATTTTGCCTCCTACCCATTTTGCCTAATCTTCCCCAAGTTCCAAAAGTGGGGGGGGGGGCGTTTCGATCATACTTGCTTCTGTAACCTTATGATGTCATCAGGTGTGGCCCAGAAAAAATGAGATTGCTCATTTCACTCTTTGTCATTACTATATAGACAATTTAAGGTGATTTAGCTATGAAGACCTTCTGAACCTTCCTGACAGTTAGAACAATTAACCAGTGGAACAACCTGCCTCCAGAAGCGGTGAATGCTCCAACACTGGAAGTTTTTAAGAAGAGACTGGACAGCCATTTGTCCGAAATGGTATAGGATTACCTGCCGGAGCAGGGGGTTGGACTTGATAACTCCAAGGCCCCTTCCAACTTTATTATTTCTTATTATTAATCATTAACTGGTAAAAATAATAATTGCAGAAGAAGGCAGTTTAATAGTAGGTGAGAAAGACCTTGGGAGAAGAGAGGAAGAGAGGCTATCAAGGGAATGGGTGGAGCAAGAGGCTCAGAAGAGGCCTTCCCCAGTTTCTGTGAAGGAGATGGCAGGAGATTTGTACTTTCAGAGTTGCAAGATTCTGTTAATATAGCCTTATAATAAAGTAGATTTAGCTCATCTGGTCGCGTTTCCTGTCTGGTCTACCTGGCAAGCTGACTGTTAGAATAAAAGGGCATTGGCATTAATTTTATTATGCCATTTGTGTACATATCACTTTCTAGAGCAGCGGTTCTCAACCTGTGGGTCGCGACCCCACTTGGGGTCGAATGACCATTTCACAGGGGTCGCCAAACAAGGCTGTCCGCCATTTTTTCCCCCTTTTCTTTAGCTGTGCTACTCCCTTTTATTCTATTGGCTTTTGAAAGCCAATAGAATAGACTCTATTCAAGAGACTCTATTCTATTGGCGTTCAAAAGCCAATAGAATCTATTGGCTTTCGAAAGCCAATAGAATAGACTCTCTTGAATAAAGTCTAATTCTATTGGCTTTCAAAAGCCAATAGGAATTGTCCAGGCTGTCTCTGCCCTGCTGAGACCGCCAAAAGCTCCAGTCTGCAAACGGTGCTGCAAGGAAAGCTTCCCTGCCTGCTGAGCAACTACTAAAAGTAAGTAAAAGAGGGCCAGGGGTGGGAGGTGGGAGGCCGGCGAGTGCAGGGAGGCTTGCTGGCGCGCGTGGGGCCCTGCAGGTGCCATACCTGCCTGGGCTGGGCCAGCTGGTGGCCCAGCCAATGGTCACCCTGCGCCATCGCTGCCATTTGCCGTGGCCGCCCAGGAGTGCCTGAATGGGTGGTGGCCAAGGTAAGGCTAGCGGGGCAGCGGCGGGCGCTGGGAGGGTTGCTGGCGTGCGTGTGGCCCGGTGGGTGCCTTACCTACCTGGGTTGGGCCAGCTGGTGGCCCAGCCGGTGGTCATCCTGCGTCATCACTGCCCTTGCCAGCTAGGCCTCGGCCGGCACAGGGGGCGGCACCACGCATGCGCGGCGCTCCCGGGCGGGGAAAGTCCTCGACTTACGACCGGTTGGGTAGTCCTCGACTTACGACCGGTTGGGGGTTGCGGCATTAAAAAGGTTGAGAACCACTGTCCTAGAGAATAATTCTGTTACCCCTAAAGGGCTTAAGGGTTTAAAATAAATTCATGGAAAATGAAATTGTGGCTTGGGATGGATAGGCAGGAAAATACTATATGAGTACTTTGATTACACTGAAATTCTACAGTGCTGCACCAGGAAGACAAATGTGTGTGTGTGGGGGGGGGGGGTTTCTTTCTCCCTTTCCCTTCTGTCTTTCTGGCAAAAGTCTCTCTTCCCTTTCCCCCCATCTGAGATCCTTAAGCATCACAGTCTTAGAGAAAAGGGATGTTTTTTATCCAGATAACCAAATTGCTTCACATCCCCTATTATATTTACAGTCCATTATGTTTTCCTTTCAATGTGCAGAGGAGAATGACAAAAAGCAACTTCCCAGAAAGCGGCGGAAGAAAAAACGGAAGAACGTTTTTCAAATGCCTGCTGTTGGACATGGAAGTCCAGCAAAATGTGGAGAGCTTGAACACCTGATTGGAGATAACTTGCAGCTGCAATCCAGGGAGGGTCCAAACTTGACTCTAAACCAAAAGAGGAAAATGAAAAAGAAACGGCGAAAAGAAAAAATGAGAGCAGCTGGCTTGCTCAGAAAACCAGTTGCTACTGATTTCACATATATGCCTGAAGAAAAGAGAGAAAGAGAGTTTGAAGTTGCAGATAAAGCAGATAACATTCTGGATTTTTTGCAAAGCACACAGGAAATCTATTTTTCTGACAGTAGGTATATTTCATCATGTATGACAGTGACTTGAAGGAAGGAAAACAAATTATTTTTCTCTGTCAAATATAAGGAGGGAGAAAGACTGATAGCTTTGTGCTCTCAATTTGAGAAAGAAAGGATATACATACATCAATCCCATTGAGCCTGTGCAAACTGTTTTAGATTCACCTTGCAGGTTAAGGCGACCTGATACAGGTAGTCCTTGAGATATGACCTCAACTGAGTCCAACATTTCTGTCGCTAAGTGAAACGTTAAGTGAGTTTTGCCCCCATTTACTTTCTTGCCACAGTTGTTAAATGAATCACTGCAGTTATTAAGTTAATAACATGGATGTTAAGTCAATCTGGCTTCCCCACCAATTTTGCTTGTCAAAAGGTCACAAAAGGTGATCGCATGATCCTGGGACACTGCAACCGTCCTAAATATGCACGTGTTAGAGAATTTTAATTTCTCTATTGGTGAAAAAATAAATCAGAAGCTCTCACAGTTGACTGCATTTAGCTGATTCAAAATAACTTCTTTATATTTATATCACAATATTTACAATACCATACATTCTTCTTTACAGCAACATAGCTCAATTGAAGACTTTTTACCGAGAGATACAGAGAAAAACCTGAGACTGGAAAATTCAGCTTCTAGCTCAATACCTTTTTTCACAGACTCAGTAGCACTTTCTTCACATTGGCTGACTGAGTTACCACATGACTCTTCCTGCTCAGGAATATTCCAACAGAACCAGTTGCCAAGCATCTGAATTTTGGTCACAGGGCCATGGGGATGCTGCAACGGTCATAAGTATGAAAAGCGGTCCTAAGTCACTTTTGTTTTTAGTGCTGCTGTAACTTTGAATGGTCCCTAAACAAATTGTTGTAAGTCAAGGACTCCCTGTACTCTCCTCTGAAAAGAAGGCCTTAACAAAACAAACCCTAAAAATGTGGCCTTGAACTGATTGGGCCCAGAGCTGTTGGAGGCGAGTCCTGTCAGCCTTTTTCTCACGTGTCTACTGAAGATTTTCAGATGCATAATACCAGTCTGTAGTGTGGGAATTTCTGCCCTGTTTGGCAAAGCCACCAAACCTGGAACTACGTCAGCCAAGACTGCAGGAGAAAACTTCTCCTTCAGCCTCCTTCCACAGTGCTTTCCTCTTAAAAAAAAAAAAAGGACTGTATTGCTTCAGCTTGGAGAGGATGTTTATTGAAAACTATTTTGAAGCTAAACCCTCCTCCCTTTTGAAGATATGACCAGTCCTAGTTCCTATACTCAGGAAACAAGAAGACTTTTCCACTGCCCTTGGTAATAAGGTCTTCATTTAGTTAAAAAATTTATAAGATCACCCAACCTATAATGATTCTGGGCAGTATATCAGCTAAAAACATGCCCAATATAATAAAAGGGGGAAAGTAGACAGTCACCTGGGAACCAACACAGCTAACATATTGCAATTCCCTCAGAAGGCACATGGTTCCTGTACTTGCTGTCTAAGAAAAGATCAGGTCTTCAAGCTTGTCCCAGTAAGGATGGGATCACTCAAACCTCCAGGATGATATCCGTCTAGAGAAGCATTCCTCAACCTTGGCAAATTTTAATCCTGGTAGTTGAAGTCTAGACATCTTAAAAGTGGCCAGGATTGAAAAACATTTGTTCTAGAGAAAGTATAGTTCTACATCTCATTGGACGACACTTACTTAAACTTGGGATCAGGATTGTGTCATCTCTTTTGGATGAGAAAGGTGGAGAAACAAGGATACTCGGATAGCCAGGCCTTATGCCATGCAGGACTTCATACTGCCACTCAAGCAGAAGTAGCCACTCAACCTGTGCCACCCAACCTGTACCACTCATGCAGCAGAAGAAGAATACACATGGAATCTGGAAGTGGACCATTCATGGGAAAGCAATCAATTCCACTTTTCAGCTCCAGTACCAAGTCTCTGTATCTTCAGAAACTTTGACCTCTGGCCGTTGCTTCTGAATACCCCGATTGGTCTGTAATAGATCATCTATGATCTTATTCTGGAGGAATGGCCAACCTTGGCATACATTACCAAGGCCCAGTGAAGGCACAGTTTTTATTAAAGTTTGCAATGACAAAGATAAAAAAGAACCTAATACAATGTAAAAATTAGAAAAGAATGAAAAGAGAAGATAGAAAGTGGAGAAAATAAAAGTGCTCAACCCTTAGTCACCTCATATGTGGACTATTGCAGTGTCTTCTATATTGGAAGCTATAGCTGATTCAGAAGGTGGTGATATGGATAGTTAGAAGTTTGTCCGGCCATGGATCAGTACAGGTAGTCCTCAACTTATAGCCATTCATTTAGTGACCATTCAAAGTTACAACAGCACTTGAAAAAGAGATTATGACCGTTTTCACACTTATCACTGTTGCAGCATCTTCACAGTCAGATGTTCAAAATTTAGACTTGGCAACTGGTTCGTATTGATGATGGCTGCAATGTCCCAGGGTCATGTGATGACCTTTTGCGATCTTCTGACAAGCAAAGTTAATGGGGAAGCCAGATTCACATAATATACAGATCACTGCATTGATTCAAGCTTCCTGCCTGCTCTTGTGTTCTGTTTGATGCCTACTTCCAGGATAGCTCTGATACAACAGCAGATGTAAGGAACTATGCTATTAAATGTACTTGAATATATGAACAATCATAACTTATTTTAATGAAATGCATTTCTAAATGCATGCACTGAAACCACCCCTTTTCACATAAGCTACAGAATCTGTTTTCTCTGTCTCCGTTTAATTCCTGAAATACAGGGACAGTGGTGTATACTATGATTTCACGCTACACTTTCCAGAAGATGCAGTGGCACAAAGGTCCAGTAAATTATTTATGAGCAGGCATCATACACCCACAGGCAGAGATTTCAAAGAAAATGATCCTGCATTTTTCGGATGTGGAAGTAGTTGTGCTGAATACTGATTCCTTTATTTTGTTCAAATTGAATTTCAAACACATCTGCAAACCCTCGTTGGAATGTAAATTTAAAGCTTTACCACCAGAGATGATAATTGGGCAGAAAGAAAGGGGTGGAATGTGAAAGGATGTACAGCGAAGAAAGTTTATTTTCATATTTGAAAAATATGTGAAAAAAATTCCTATCTGTCTTTCTATCTATGATAATTAGTTATAGCTGTGAAAGAAAGTTTTTCTTCTGTTTTGATTTACATTGTCACTGGGAATAGTCAATTTGCGCTACTACAAATATTGGCATAACTAGCATCTCAATGCTTTTTATTCACTTTCCTTCCATGGTCTCTCATAAACAGGTGGAGGGCTTCTCTCCCCCTTTCAGCCTCTTTTTATGTATGCTTGATGTTATTTTAGTAATGATTTTACTTTAAATCATAGATTAGGGAATAGTAGTACTGAACTGGGATGAGTTGTTTTACAAATACAGGTTCCTCTTTTGAGGCTGTAGCACTAAGGGATTGTTAACATATATATGGAAGATCCATGAGACACAATTGCCATCTCATCCCGTAATCCTTTTAAATGGAGGGAGTTCATAATTTTGAGTTCAGTCATTGATTATGCACGTAAAGGTGGACCTTAGCCTTTAAACATTGATATTTATATGAAGTTCTTTTCATTATAAATATCAGGTCGAAGTCACACTCTGTGTAATGCCTGTATTTTCTCAGCATAAGCTCATTTGATGTTCATCCAGACTGGACTCAGGATATGTGACCTCATGGTTTTATATAGTTCCAGCAGAGCAGGATGGACCTGGCAAATTTAATAGGCCCAGATTCAGAAACACGGTGCTATGAGTCCCTCATAGTCTTTTTTCACTTCCAATTGGGTAAATGTTTCTCTGTATCATTTTTTAAAAAATAAGTCTGACAAAAGTAAAACAATGGAATGAAAAGGCAAATACGAACCTTTACATACAGGTAGTCCTCAACTTACCGCCACAATTGAGCCCAACATTTCTGTGGCTAAGAGGGATAGTTAAGTGAGTTTTGCCTCCCTTTTTCTACTTTTCTTACCAGAGTTGGTAAATGAATCACTGCAGATGTTAATTTAGTAACATGGTTGTTAAGTGAATCTGGCTTTCCCATTAACTTTGCTTGTCAGAAGGTTGCAAAAGGTGGTGAGGTGAACCCAGGATACTGCAATCGTCATAAATACATACCATTTGCCAAGTGTCCAAATTTTGATCACATGATCACAGGGATTGTTCATTGATCATTTAAGTGTGAAAAACTATCATAAGTCACTTTTTTCAGTGCCATTGTAACTTTGGATGGTTGTTAAATGAATTGTTGTAAGTCGAAGACTCTCTGTACACTGTAAACAAGAGAAACCTTGCTAACTGCGCCTTTTTTCTTTCCCTTAAGAGCTATCAAAATGTGCAGAGTCAGCTGAGAGCTCCGGAAGCGTCCATGGGGTTTTAAAGAGCCTTGAATCTGGCACGCTGTCATCATCGGATATCACACGTCTACGTCAAATTAAATCATTTGTTCTCCTGCAGAATGTGGAGGAACTAAATATTGCCCTGAAAGACCTCAGCACTCATTCAGAAATGCCTCACGGTAGGTTGAATGCACCCAAGCTGGTTACGCGATTCCTTCTCGGATGCAGATTTCCCGTAAAACTCTTCTTCGCAAGCATTTTAATTTCTTCTTTTTTAATAATTAATGTTTGTGTAAATACAAAGGGTTTTGTGCAGAGCGTCTTTGCAGGACACAATGTAGATTCTTTTTTCTAACTTCAAATAAGTTCCTTGTACGGGAAAAGAGAATTTAAATCTTGAAATAGATTTCTGGTCAGTTGTGGCTTTCCATGATCTTTTGCACAGTTTCTGTGCAGCTTGCCAGATAGCTCTGAAAATGGTTCTCAAATGTAATTTGTGTTCCGACAGATGGGAGATATTGATTAAATATATGACAGGAGAATAATCATCTTAAGTATATTTAATTTAGTTTAATGAAATGAAATCAAATTTAATCCTAGCCTTGCCCCTTATTTTATGGAAAGACTCCTAGCCCAGAAAGAAAATGTACAGATCTGTCTATCGAATTGATACTATATAATGTATCCCCTTTATGGAACAGCATCATTGCCAGAACATCTTTGGCTGGCATATATCAAGTTCCAGTTCATGGAATGCTTGATTCTTAGCATTGAGGGGGGGGGGAAGAAAACCCCAGCAGGAATGAAAAAGCTTTGTTTTATACAATGACAATCAGAGATTAAAGTTTAAGGTGAATAAAAGGAAGCTATTGTAGTTAATTTTTTAGTACACTTTTCTTAGAAGTGTAGAACATGTAGAGCAAATGGGCACTACATTCCCTAGCAGAGAGGAAGGAAATAATTTGCTATAGGATCACAAAAAATCCTAACTGTCATCATTCTACATTAGCGGTATGTCTGCCCCTTGAGTCTAGTTAATATATTCATACTTTCATTTTGTGGGAAATTCATTCATTGCATCCAGTAAGCAATTACACGTGATGAAGAAATGAGAAGAGTATCAGATCCTTCTTTCAATAAATTCATGTACTTTAATTTCTATGATAAATCAAGAATAAAAATATCCTACCCTCTACAATTCCCAAATGATCAATAGAATTATGAGAGCCCATTTGTTGTTTAAGGCATTTAGAAACCAGGAGATGGTGAGTTCTACTTCCCCTTTAAGCCTGTCAGCTGGTCCCCCTCTCTCAGCCCTAGGAAGAAGGCGTGGACAAACCACTTCCAAAATGCTGCTAAGAAGAACTGCCTGGATTTCTCACCAGGAGTCTAGACTGACTTGAAGGCAGAAAAATAAAGTAAAACATTGCATTGTTAAATTGAAATAAAAATATCTTAGCTTCTCTAATTGAAAAATTGATCAAAAGATAACATAGACTATGTTGTTTGAACTGATCCAGTTAGCTTCGTTAGAGCATAGCATTCCATAATTTGGATATCTAATATAATATATTATTGTGTATTAGTTGTTTATTACTCATTTATCTAGATGGAATGAAGGTCTTTGAAATGTTAATTGCTTTGATTTTTGATCTGATAGTTACAAATTTATTTCCTTTGTTTGCTTCAATTTCCATTTCCTTAAGGGAATACTAGTTAATGAGAATCAGTTTGGTGTAGTGGTTAAGACACCAGGCTAGAAAGTGGGAAGCAGTGAGATCAAATCCTGGCTTAGCCATGAAAGCTGGCTGGGTGATTTTGGGCCAGTTATTCTCTCTCAGCCCAATCCACCTCACAGAGTTGTTGTTCTAGGGAAAATAGGAGCAGGAAAGTGTGTTGATATGTTTGCTACCCTCAGTTATTTGTAAAAATAATAAAGGTGGGATACAAATAAATAAATAATATATTTCTTATTATTAATGTTTGTATATGATATACATATTGTTTTTATCTAATCTGTTGAAGGTTAAGAGCATAATTATTTTAGGTACACGTGTGTTAGTTGCTTTTTTATTTCAAGCTTATCCAGATTTAATAATAAAGTGTAAAAAGTTGGAACTTTTCTGTTGGCATATATTTCTACTTATTTCAGTTAAATCTTTAATTTCACAAGTTTATGCTTGGGAATACACATGACTAAAGATATAGGCCAGTTACTACTTAAAATTATAATGCAATAATTAAAATAGCTAAAAAAGACATAACAAAAATCACAATAATTGCTTTTTTGCTTTGTTATGAAAATGAGTTTTACAAACAGGATGTATTGCTAAATCCTTTTTTTATGTTCATATTCACTAAATTTTTAAAAAATGCAGAATATGTTTATATGTTGAGGGAAGAATCTGGGATTTTTCAGTCAGTTGTTCTACTTGAAGTAAGTAGATCATTTTCTAATATATAGTTACAAATAGTTCTCAAGTTACAACAGTTCACTTAGTGACAGTTCAAAGTTACGACCCCCCCCCAAAGTACTTATGACACAGTCCCAAAGTTACAAATGTTGCAGCATCATGGCAATCGTTCACTCTTACAACTGACTGCAGAGACAATACATCATTCTCTCTGCCTATCCCCCCCCCCCCGGGGATCTAACAGGCACTGGCCCTGCTATGCTAGTCCACCGGCTCCTCTCCACCCCGTTACCAATCGCTCACTTACCTTTCGAAGATCCAGAGTTCCAGAAAAAGCTGACCACTCCTTCTCTCTCTTCAAGCAAGATGTCTCTTCTCCAGCCTTTCTGCTGTGGGGTTTGTGCAGCGGCTCGGTTTCTTTGCTTGCTCCGGGCGCTCCGAAGCAGAGTGGTGAGAACAAAGGCAGAGCGGGACATGCGTGCCCTGCTCAGCTTGGCTGGCTCACCAAGGCTGCCTGCACCTGATCCACTTTTGGAGCACCAGATAACCTCGGTGAGTGCTTTTGTTGTAGAGGACAGATGCCTGAAGGAGTGTGAGATCGTGTCCCCAAAGGCTTCTGATCTCTGCGCCAAAAGCTTTTGCAAAGGGACAGAAGGTTTCAGGAGAGCGATCTTGCACTGCTTCAGGCCTCTGTCCCTTTGCAAAAGCTTTTGGTGTGGAAAACAGAGGCCTCAAGGAGTGTGAGATCGCGTCCTCAAAAGCTTCTGTTCTCTACACCAAAAGCTCTTGCCCCAGAGAACAGAAGTCTTTAGGGGTGCGATCTCGTACTCCTTCAGACTCACCAAGGTTGCCCGGTGTTCCAAGAGCAGATTGGGTGTCCTGTGCAGGCAGCCTTGGTGATCAGCCAAGCTGATCAGGATGGGTTCCTCTCTCTCTGCCTCTGCTCTTACCACTCTGCTTTTGTAGTGCCAGGAGCAGGCAAAGAAACCGAGGCAGAGAGGCTGGAGAGGAGACAGATTGCTTGATCATAGAGATCTTCAAAAGGCAAGTGAATCTCCACAGGCCCGGTGCCTGTGGAAACCCGGTGGGGCAGGACGGAGGGAGGGGGGGGAGAAGCATGAGATATCACAGTGGGTCTGGGGAAGCCTTGGGCAGTCGGAAGCACTAAGCCTCCCATGGTCTTCCCCACCCTGAGATATGTCATGGGCACTCAATGACCTGCTCATTCGATTAGCAAATGCATTGGGTAAAGCAGGGAGGGATCATGTTCATTTAACGTGATCCAATTAACGAATCCTCAGATTACGAATATAATTGGCAGGCTTTATTACATCCGTAACCCAAGAATTACCTTTATATTTAAAGCTTTTTCTAAGATGGCTGTGGTCGGCAACAAGTAAGTCAACAATTGAAATTGGTGTTGTTTCGTTTCTTTTCTTTTTGGAAGGAGCATTATCTTTTCAGTCTGTTGCCAAGGAAAGTTGCCGAATCCATTTTGAATCAATTTTAGAGAATAATTTGCTTGCTTAGGAAAAATGGGGACAATTCCTGGCACTGAGTTATTCACTAGTTGTCCTCTTTTATGCCAGCTTTTATAGTACCACTGAGATAAATTCATGCAATTAATAGTAGCAGAAAGGCATTAAATTCAGAGATTCATTTCTTGATAGAACTCCTCCTGATGATAGTAAATTAAAAGCCATTTCAGATACAGTGAAGCTCTCATGGGTTCAATTCAGCAAAAACAAAAGTTTATTCTAAGATTAATGTGTAAGAAAGAACGATCTAGATTCATTGTTCTTCTGAGCTAGCTATTTCTAGCCAGCTAGACATATATTGCCCCAATGTATCCAGTGAGGTTAGCAATAAAATTTGGGGAAAGGGTTACCTGTGGATCAGCCCCACAGTTTAATTTGCACACAGATTTCAATTCTGTTTATTTAACATTTATTGTCATCTAAATACACTGGATACTGAAAGAGATCTGGTGCACAAGGGACTTTGTTCCATATTTGGCTATGTATTCCTGTGAACAAAGATTTGTGATCAATAGTTTTACAGTTTACTTCAGGGATTATAGGAAGTATATTACCTTCTCTAAATACAGCTTTGTCTTTTTATCTTTGATGGTGATAACTGTTGCCAGTGGATTAGGAAGTCATAACATTCTATTGTGCTTAGTATGGCAGTTTTGGAAATGTAAAAGACAAATATGGCCTTCACCTCAGAATAGCTAGAGTATGGAGTCTATACTATGGAGTCATTGCCATCCATGGGAATAAGATGGAGGCAAGTGACAATATGAACATTACAATGTAAGCTCCCCACTTTTGTATGTTAAGCTTGATATCCCATGTACATAAAGACATGACATTGCCATGTTTGTTTCATCATTCTGGCAAAGCAGATGCTGTAGATCAGGCACGTCAAACTGCCGGCCCACAGGCCGGATGTGTCACGCCGAAACTGCACCCACCCCATTGCCGGCAATGGGGAAAAAGTCCCGATACGTTGCATGACGTCACGTGATATTGCGAGTTTGACATGCCTGCTGTAGATACTTGTGTTTGGATATGATCAGGGATGATACATGCCTTCCTTTTATTTCTTCTGCATGTAACGATTTTGTACTTTAAACCATCCATTAATCTTGCGGAAATATACTTTCTAATTCAAACTTTTTAGAAGTTTTTTTTAATCTTTCTTGTGATGCCTATGTGAAAATCTCGCTTATGTTTTAAGACAACATATGTACCAGTGTAACC